AGTCCTATTTTATTCAAATTGTGTTTGCATATGGACTTTTTATCACTTTTCATTGGCATTCATCATCATCATTGTAGTTATTATTGTTATCGCTTTCTTTATATTACAGTCAATAGTAATGATGTTTTGGCAGAGCTTTTCAGAGTTTCTAGCTCCAGGGGACATTTTCCAAATGGATGTATTTGTTAAGGGGCTTCGACTACCTATCACAGGATGCTGATATTTTACAGGGGATTCTGGGATATATCTTAATGCTAGGAATGAGTGAGGATATTGATTTGATATTTATAATAATGTAGTAATATTTTTACAGTGATTGTATGGAAAGAACTTGAAAAATTGAAAACCAAATCTGAATAAAAACAAAATTTACAGGCAAAGGATTTTTGAGTGCTTAGCTCTAAAAAGCCTGGATGTTAATCTTGTACAATCAGCTATTTGGTGGTGGTGGTGAATTATAGTAGCCACTCATCACCTTTAAAAGTTACATTGTTATTTCCATGCTGGGAATAGTTGTATCCCCAGTTGGGTGACAATTGTGTCTGATTTTCTTTTGTATAGGAATTGCTCAACATCTCAAATTATTTCATAACCAGGAGAAAAAGAATTTAAATTTGAAGGATTCTTTGAGGGAAGCTTGCCCATTATAATATAACTCACAAGTTTCTTTTTCTTATCCTGGAGCTTCTGGTTCCTGCCTTATTCTTTCTCCAGAATCTATAATGGGCTACATCAAAGAGAACAAGGAAACTAACAAAGGGGGGGTTGCAGACTGCCAGAAATAGTGCAAATTGAGTCCACTTTTAGGGTTAGGGTTAGTGCTAGGGAATCATGGGAAGTGGTTTTCTTCTGAGACATTGAGCCTTCTCTGTCAGAGAGCTCTGGTGCCACAATAAAATACAATTCCCATGATTCCCTAACCCTAACCCTAACCCTAACCCTAAAAGTGGACTCAATTTGCACTATTTTTGGCAGTCTGCAACCCCCCAAAGTCAGCATGATGTAGAGGTCTGAATGTTGAACTGCAACTCTTGGAAATAAGGGTTTGATTCCCCACATGAGAATAAAAACCCACTGAGTGACCATGGGCAAGTCACACTCTCTAAGGAGCTTACCACATATTTAAATAAATTGCCTTACCTGATCTGGTTTAAAATTTAAATCGGGTGGCATCCTGATATTATCAGAAGGATTTAGCTGCCAAATCTGCCACCCAGGTCTATCCCCACTCACAGAGGCACTCAGCACAGCTGTTTTCAAAGCTGGGAGTTTTCTGGACTGAGCACCCCTGTGAGCAGGGATGGACCTGGGATGGACCTGGGCAGTGGATTCAGTGGCTAAATCCTTCTGATAATATCAGGATGCCACCTGATTTAAATTTTAAACTGGATCAGGTAAGGCAATTTTTTAAAGTATGCAATAAGCTTATAAGTCTCACAGGATTGCAATGACAAATCCCCTCTGAAGAAACTTGCCAAGAAAATCCTATGATAGCAATAGCACTTTACATGTCTATATTGCTTCATAGTGAATTAAGTACTCTCTAAACAGTTTACAGTCTGTAAGCCAATTGCCTCCCACAAGCTGGATTCTCATTTTATCGACCTACGAAAGGATGGAAGGCTGTGTCAACCTGGAGAACTGACAACATTGTGGCTACAATATCTGCATTTAACCACTGTGCCACCAGGGCTCCCTATGATAGGTTTGCCATAGAGTCACCATAAGTCAAAAAGGGCTTGGAGGCATACAAAAACAACAACAAGTGCGTGTCTCCAGGTCTCTGGGGATACATGGCTAGGATTCAATAAATCCCCTAACAAAATAAGTTCAGAAAGTGACTGAATGCTGAATAGTAAAAGGTTTATTTTTATGGTTTCTCTTTAAGTATAAACAACACTATGCTAGCTCCCTATAACTGGGGCATGCTGTTATAATGATATCCTTCCTATTTTTTTCCCTGAAATCTGCCACACTCCCCCTCCTACCCTCCTTTTAAGTAGTCAGATATCAAACTAACTGAAGGAAAGAAGAGCAGCCAGGAACAGCTCCATTTTGACTTGGCCTCTGGGACTGGTGAAAAGCCCTCCCTCTAGACTCCAGCTGCCATTTTTCTGGCCAGGGAAGGAGAGAAGAGCAGCCAGCCTCTGCTGAACATAACCTCTTTATTAATGACTTGGATTAAGGAATAGAGGCCATGATTATGAAATTTGCAGACAACATGAAATCAGAAGGAGTAGGTAACACTCCAGAGGACAGGATCAAAATTCAAAATGATCTCAATAGATTAGAAAGCTGGGCCAAAATTAACAAAATGAATTTCAGCACAAAGAAATATAATGTATTGCACTTAGGCAGAAAAAATGAAATGCATAGCTATAGGATGGGGGACACCTGGCTTAACAAGATGACATGTGAAAAGAATCTAGGGGTCCTAGTAGACAACAAGTTGAACATGAGTCAACAGTGTGATGTGGCAGACAATGCAATTCTGTGCTGCCTCAATAGAAGTATAGTGTCTAGATCGGGGTCAGCAAGTTCCCCTTACCTGGGGCCAGTCTGGGGATCCCCTGGTCTTCCGCGGGCCAATGGTGTGGGGGGAAAATGGCGGCATGCACGCGTGCATGTGCAGTACACCAAAAGTAATGCACATGCATGTGCGCACTTGCTTGCACATGCACAGTACTTCCAGAGTACTGCACATGCGCGAGTGAGTCGCGGCCGCCATTTTGGAAAACAAAATGGCGGCCGTGGCTCACTCGTGCATGCACGGGAGTACTGCGCATGCGCAAACAAGTCACAGCTGCCATTTTGGAAAACAAAATGGCAGTTGCAACGCACAAGGGGGTGGCAGGAGGTGGCGGGGGTGGTCCAAAGGCCTCATGGGGCCAGACCTGGCCCGCGGGCCGTAGGTTGCTGACCCCTGGTCTAGATCAACTAAAGTAATAATGTATTCTGCTTTGGTCAGGCCTCACCTGGAATACTGTGTCCAGTTCTGAGCACCACAACTCAAAAAGGATGTTGACAAGCTGGAGAGTGTCAAAAGAAGGGTGACCAAAATGGTGAAGGGTCTGGAAACTATGCCCTATGAGGAGAGGGAGCTGGGTATGTTCAGCCTGGAGAAAAGGTTAAGATGTGATACGATAGCCCTGTTTAAATATGCAAAGGGTGTCATATGGAGCAAGTATTTGTTTAGGTATTTGAAGGGTGTCATATGGAGGATGGAGCAAGCTTGTCTTCTGCTGCTCCAGAGACTAGGACATGGAACAATGGGTTCAAACTAAAGGAAAAGAGATTCAACCTCAACATTAGGAAGTACTTCCTGACAGTAAGAGCTTCTTTGACAGTCAACACACTCCCTTATAATGTGGTGAAGTCTCCTCCTTTGGAGTTTTTAAAACAGAAACTGGATTGCCATCTGTTGGGGGTGCTTTGGTTGTGAACTCCTGCATGGCAGGGGATGGACTGGATGGCCCTTGGGATCTCTTCCAATTCTATTATTCTATGATTCCTCCTCAACTGCCATTCTTTTTTCCTTGTGTGTCATATCTTATTTTAGATTGTAAGCCTAAGGGAATGGTGGAATTAACTAATCTATTCACATGTCTAGACTGATTTAAAAGTCCCAGATTTTGTGAAGTGAAAGGCTTTCATGGCTGGCATCCATAGGTTTTTGTGAGTTTTTCAGGCT